CCAGGCGGATCTCTGTGAGTTCGAGGCCAGCCTGGGCTACCAAGTGAGTTCCAGGAAAGGCACAAAGCTACACAGAGAAACCCTGTCTCGAAAAACCAAAAAAAAAAAAAAAAAAGAAATACCAATTAGACACATTTGAAAGGAATAGCCTATGTATACAAAAGCCAGAGCCACCTGTGGTCCTGGGTGGCCAGGCTGCATCCTACTTGGCAACCTCATCTATATAGTACCAGTTTCATCGGCATGGAAGGTATAAGTGTTAGGATGCCACGGAGATTTATATTAGGAGTTTAGGTGGCTCTGAGACCAAGTGATATGTGGTCAGGTCCTGAGGGGTCATTACATGAAGCTGTGAAGGTGAAACCCTGAGTGGAAATGTAGCCCGGGAGGCTGAAGAGGCCAGAATCATAGGAGGTCTAAGGACATTTGCAGACACAGAGAGAAAATGGCCCAAGAGAGGCTGTCCCGTGCTGCAGAACGCAGAGACAGCGCCCCTTGCAGCCCAGATGATGTCATCAGGAGCTGCAGGTGGACATGGGACTTCAGGGTTTGGCATTTTCTTTGTCTGGCTTGGTCTTGCTTTGGTCTGAACATTTCTTGCTGTGCCCCCAAATCCTTCCTTTAAAATGGAGAGGTTTGTTTATTCTGTGCCATTGTGTGTTGGAACTATATAACTTTTGACTTTATAGGAGATCACAGTGAAGAGATTGCCTTGAGTTTCAGAAGAGATTAAAATTTGGAAAAGTTTTGGAACTATTAAAAGACTGGAGATTTTTTTGAAACCGAACAGAACTTGTTTTTGAATTATGAGACGGCTATGAGCCTAGGAAAATGGGAGTGGAAAGTAATGGCCTAAAAATGACATGTTTGGCTCGGCGGTGGTGGTGCATGCCTTTAATCCCAGCACCCAGGAGGCAGAGGCAGGCGGATCTCTGTGAGTTCAAGGCCAGCCTGGGCTACAGAGTGAGCACCAGTACATCCAGGACTACACAGAGAAACCCTGTCTTGGAAAAAAAAATGACATGTTTGGAAATCAAGTTGATGAGTGGTGAATTTGTGACTGTTTTTATTGTCAACTGGTTCTAGAATCACCCTGGAGACAAATCTCTGGGCGTGTCTGTGATGGATTTTCTAGATTATGTTAATTGAGGTGGGAAGATGTAGTTTTTTTGTTTTGTTTTGTTTTTTTAACTCTTTGGGGGCCTGCCACCCAGCTCCCAAATAAATATACGGAGACTTGTTCTTAATTATGAATGCCCAGTCTTAGCTTGGCTTGTTTCTAGCCAGCTTTTCTTTCTTTTTTTTGTTTTGTTTTGTTTTTTCAAGGCAGGCTTTCTCTGTGTAACAATCCTGGCTGTCCTGGAACTCTCTGTGGAGAAAACTAATAATGCAAACACCTGCTGTATATCAGATAATATTCCAGGTGAAGGAGATACTCCAGTGAGCCAAACAGGAGAATTCCTTCGATAATTGAAAGAGTCAGATTATAGCCAAGATAAGTAATTATGCTCAGTTTTGAAAACTATTGTCTTTCTAAAAAGTGGATGCTTATAAACCACCCTGAGTCTAATACTTTTAAATATAAACCCTAACTTTGCTATGTTAACATGACTAAAACAGCTCATACTCAGCCCTTGCTGTTTAGAAACATTTTCCACTCTTCCCCTTTCAATGTTCTATTTTATTCCATTTTTGTTTTTGAGAAAATTAATTGATATGTGTAACCGTAAATATTTACGGGGTAGAGTGTGGCACACTGATGGTCAGATGGGTTAATTGTCGTATCCATTACTAAAAACACTGTCACTGGTATTGGAAACATGCAAAATCCTCTCTACTGATTATTTTGTAATGTTTGAGTGATTCTTATCAACACCACTGGAAGGAATTCATCCATTACCCATCTTCTTTCCAAACTCCCCCTCCTGTCTCCCTTCCCAGGCTCTGAAAACTACTATTCTTTTCTGCTTTTTAAGTTTTCAAGATGGAATTTTATTATATAGCCCAGGCTGGCCCCAAACTTCTGACCTCCCTGCTCAGCCTCCCAGGCACTGAAATTACAGGTATGTACTCCTCTTGCTCCCTTCCCCCATCCTCCTCTTCTCCCTCCTGTGGCTCCTCCCTCCTCTTCTTCTAGACAATGTCTCACTGTAGCCCAGGCTGGCCTTAAATTGCCATAATCCTTCTGCCTCAGCCTCCCAAGTGTTAGGATTATAGGTATGAGCCAGCACACCTCACCTCTATTCTCTACTTCTGTAAGCTCTTTTTAAGGTTCCACAATTAAGTGAGAACATATAATGTTTGTTTTTCTATGTCTGGCTTATCTCATTTAACATAATATCTTCCAGTTCCCTCCAAGTATCTGCAAATGACAGACTGTTCTTTTTTTCTTTTTCTTGAAAATGTTTTCATAATATATATATATATATATATATATATATATAAACACTATATATATATATATATATATATATATATATATATATATAGAGAGAGAGAGAGAGAGAGAGAGAGAGAGAGAGAGAGAGATGGTCTCTTTACAGCCCTGACTGTCCTGGTACTCACTATGTAGACCAAGATGGCCTAGAACTAATAGAGACCGACCTTCTTCTGTCTCCAGAGCTCTGGGATTAAAAAATGTGTGCCACCACACCCAGCTCATACAATATGCTTTTCTCATGCTTTCCCCTCCCCGATACTTTCATTATTTTCATAACTAAATGCTATGCACTAGATTTCCCACCAGTTTTTCATTGGATGATGGATCCGTAGTTTAATTCAGTACCGTGGCTACGGTGAACAGTGCTACAACCACCATGGAATGCTGATGTCCACACAGCACCTTTACTGCCTTTCCATGTAAATCAAGTAGGGAGATTTCTGGGTCATATTCTAGTTAATAGTTTAAAACATTGGGGCTGGAGAGATGGCTCAGAGGTTAAGAACACCGACTGCTCTTCCAGAGGTCCTAAGTCAATTCCCAGCCACCACATGGTGTTTCACAACCATCTGTAATGAGATCTGGTGCCCTCTTCTGGCCTGCAGGGACACATGCAGGCAAAACACTGTCCATGTAATAAATAAACAAATCTTTTTTTAAAAAAGTTTACAATATTTTGTAAAATAGCTAAGTATGAATTACACTTATGACAGAATGAAACAGGTTATAATCACTTGTCCACGTGCCTCAACTTTGAGTGTGTGTGTGTGTGTGTGTGTGTGTGTGTGTGTGTGTGTCCTGCATGTATGTATGTGCACCACACGAGTGCCTGGTGCCTTTGGAGGTCAGAAGACCCTAAAATAACCAATAAGTTATTTTCATTTATTTATTTATTTATTTATTTATTTATTTATTTATTTATTTATTTATTTATTTGAGCTGAGGATCGAACCCAGGGCCTTGAACTTGCTAGGCAAATGCTCTACCACTGAGCTAAATCCTCAACCCCCAATAAGTTATTTTAAGAGTTGGTTTTTTTGTTGTGTTTGTTTTTTGAAGGGCTCTTTGCAGACAACCCTAACTTCCTTTAGTATCACATCAGGGAGCCCTGGCTGTTCCTTTCCTGGTTCTGTTATAATGTATTTGTGCAAACATTGTTTCTACACAGTGTCTGTTTCACACGACCTTGAGCCTCTTACTCAATGTTTTGGCAGGAAGTGGTAACTGTTGCTAGGTCGATTCTTGCATTAGGACTGGAAAGTACAGGTAAAGCATAATGAATTTCCGTGTCTGAAATCTGAGATGCCCTGAAATCCGAGATGCCCTGAAATCCAAAACATTCTGGCACTAAGTTGTCAAATTGAAAAACTCTACAGATGGGGACTGGGTGGTTAAGAGCCCTGGCTGCTCTTGTGGAGATTGCAGGTTCGATTCCCAACACCCACAGGGCCACTTATAGCCGGCTGTAACTCCTGGTTTCTGGAGCTCTAATGCCCTCTTCTGGCCTCTGCTGGCACCACAGACATACATACACGCAAACGTTCACACACATAAAAATGAATGTTGTTGTTTTTTTTTTTTTTTTTTCGAAACAGGGTTTCTCTGTGTAGCTTTGCGCCTTTCCTGGGACTCACTTGGTAGCCCAGGCTGGCCTCGAACTCACAGAGATCCGCCTGGCTCTGCCTCCCGAGTGCTGGGATTAAAGGCGTGCGCCACCACCGCCCGGCTGAATGTTTTTTTATAAAGGAAAAAAAAAGCCACAAATAACACTTTGTGAGGAATTTCGGTCAAAATGCAGATGCAGTCAGTTGTGGTAACATACATCTTTGATCCCATTACTTGGAGAAAGATAGTCAGAACTCTGCATTTGAGGCCAGCCTGGTCTAAAAGGGAGTCCCAAACCAGCCTCTGATGGACTGAACTTCAAACAGCCGGACAAAGGCGTATATTTATTGATTATTGCTGGGTTTTGGGTAAACAAGTTCCTCACACTGAGTCCCTGATCTAATCTATACGGTTTTCTGAAGGAAAGCATCACACACACACACACACACACACACACACACACACACACACACACACCCCACACACCCCTACTTTAGTCTTTTACTGTGAACTGTTTGCAGTACCCAGTAACCCAAGAGATTCAGGAGTGCCAGAAGTGTCTTGTGACCAAAGCCAGGCAAACGCTGTAGAGCTGCTTCAGAAAACCACTCTGTAAATCACAGAAGACAATCACCGATTTCTACCACGATTTCATCGAGGTTAAAGAAAACAACTGTTCTAATGTTTACCCCAGATACAGTGGCCCTGCTAGGCTCTTACACACCAGTCAGGACTATATGGTGAGGTCCTGCCTCAACAAACAAACAAGGAAAATCAAAACCAAACCAAACAAACCCAAGGGGCTGGAAAGAGTATGGACTTCCTTTGAGGAGCACCCAAATCCCATTCCCAGCACTCATGCGGGGAGGCTCACAGCTGCGGGTAATTCCAACTCTAGGACATCTGTTTTAAAAAATGTTAATCGGTGCGGGTTACCATTCGAGGAAGGTTATGAGCCAGGACAAAACCCAGTATCAGCTTTATTAGGAGGAAGGTTTTGGGGGCGGAGGGAATGACAACAAAAGAACCAGGCCTGGGGCCTGGGGAAGAAGCATGTGCAGAGAGGAGAGAGAGAGGGAGGGAGGGAGGTATGGTGGGGGAAGAGAGCAGAGGAGTGACAGGAGTCGTCTGTGTCCAGCTTTTTAAGGATTCCCGTGCACATGTGCAGGTAGGCTTATGGAACTAAACCATGCATGCACTGACTGCGTGACTGTGCTGCATGCATTCACGCGATCACGAAGCACACTGATGCTGCAAGATGTAAGACCCCTTACTTATAAGCTGCTGAACTGCGCATGTGCAGTCATGCAGCTGGAGTGGTGGCAGAATCCTAATAGTCCCAACTTTTTGCTTATTATAAAAAAGCAGGTGAACAGGAATAGGGGCATCGTTTCTCCTGGAAAAACTGCTTCCAGCTGACCTGGTGGGCATGGGTTGACTCTTGAGGGGATAGGGAAGGGGGCCACTGCAGTAACCAGCCGTCCTGGGGTCCTCTGCTGCTTTTGGGTACTGTCCAGGTGGATTCAAGCTGGTTCCAGAGCTCGCCGACCTGTCCACGTGGATTTTTCTGGAGCTTGGAAAAATTTTGAACATATTAAGAAACAGCCATGAGAAAATTAAAGTCTTGAGCTAGTGACCATTGTAGTGTTTGGTATTCCGCTTACATTGGTTAGTGTGTGTGTATGTGTGTGTGTGTGTGTGTGTGTGTGAGAGAGAGTGAGAGAGAGAGAGAGAGAGAGAGAGAGAGATTGGAAAATGTTTTAATTTGTACCTGAGATGAGCCTTATTAGAAAAAGATTATTTTAAAGCACCTGTTTCCTTTATTAGTTTAGCATCCAGGAGACAGGTGATCAATTGTTGAGAGCATTTAACAGTAATGAATTGTTATATTAAAGCCTTTTTTTTTTTTGCAGAGCCCAGACACTTTTGGGTCTGGGGTGTAAATGCCTTTTGACTACTACTGTTCCTTACCACCTGGGTATATCTGATGGTCCTTGGACTCCAGCTCTGTGGTGATCCTGTAACAATTAGCTGAGTAGTTAATTAGGAGAGGGAACCAGGAAGGGAAGAGCTTGTGGGGGGAGACCTCATTCTTCTGGAATTGATGACAAGGCAGTGGATCCTGATGTCCTCTGGAACGTGAGAGAGAGCAGGGCCCCGTCTGTGTCACTGTGCAGGAGAAGAAGCACTGCTGACAGGTCTGGAGTGAGGCACATGGAGGGGGCAAACGAAACGAAAGCTCCTACCTTAGCTGGAAAATCTCTTCCTGTTAAGTAACCCTGAAAGTACAATTACATCTAGTGAGGTGGGTAAGGCTGTCCCCCTACCCTGACAATAGGGAAATGAGGAGAGGTGGGACCCCAAAACTCCCTCAGGACTGAGTGAGAGGCTCAGTGTCCAAAGGAAGGAAACAGATCACCCCATGCTGCATCCTGGGTTCCCTGTGAGCCCGTGGCCAGGCCTAGCAGGTCTGCTGGAGGTCTTGGTTTGATGTCCCCATGCCACAGGGTGCACAGGGGCAGTCAGCTGACCAGTTATCTCTCTAGGTGGCACTTGGAACAAGGCTCAGCTGATGGTCCAGTAGGGCACACACTAGCCCCCATGGCCTTCCAAAACAGGGACCTGGAAGCCCTTATGCAGCTGCTCGGATAGCGTGTGCCCGCATTTGGCAATTCTGTTCACGGGCTTTCTCATCTCTCCCATGGTACCTTAAATGCCACAGCTGAAACTTCTACCTGTGGGGTCAGGAGCCTTGCTCTCCAGATGCTTAAGTTTTGGTCCTAATGTCAGGGAGCTCTGGGAGACAAGAGATAGATTTTATTCCAGGTCTTGAGGGTTTCTTTGTTTGTTTGTTTGTTTGTTTATTTATTTATTTATTTATTTATTTATTTATTTATTTATTTATTTATTTATTTATAGTTTGCTGGCTTGAGGACAACTTTAGGAAGACCTGCCAGGAGGCAGGCTGTAAACCGATCTCTGGCTAGAGAGCCATCTGGATTATTACGATCCCAATGTGGGTCCTGATCGTAAACTTATTTGCATGTGTCCCAGCCTGCTTCCAGACCTGTCCATGCTTAGCAGCCCATCCGGTACTGGAGAACAGAGTGGAGAACAGATAAGGTTCTTTGGAGTCAGAGATTCCTTAGATTCAGGAATGTAAGTGGGCAGGAGAGAGAATCAGAAAGGGAGTGTTTAGATCTTAGGTAAAAGCATGGGGATAAGGTAACTCCTTTCATTTGCCTATTCACTGGCAAAAGTTAGATAATTCCTGTGAAGTATCAGGGTTCAAGGAGCCCTTACAAATTTAAGGCATTTGTCAGAGGAGTGGAACCAAGAAGAGGAAGCCTCCATGTCCCATGACTGCAGCCGAGAGAAAAAAATAAAAGCCGGGCGGTGGTGGCGCACGCCTTTAATCCCAGCACTCGGGAGGCAGAGCCAGGCGGATCTCTGTGAGTTCGAGGCCAGCCTGGGCTACAGAGTGAGTTCCAGGAAAGGCGCAAAGCTACACAGAGAAACCCTGTCTCAAAAAACAAAATGAAAAATAAAAAATAAAAAAATTAAAATAACAAATGAGACCCCAGACCCCCATCTCAAGCTTCACCGAGGATGGGCAATCTGTGGACTGGCATAAATTATCAGCACAAGTTACCCGAACCATTGTCATGGAAGGGGCAAGGGGGGGTGGGGGGGCTATGTACCGGAGGCATCCCCGGGAGTCCAGACAGCATTCAATACTTCAAGAGAGAATGTGTTGTGGTATGCAGTCCAGGACCCCCCCCAGGGGGTCTGGGGGGAGGAATATATCTCAGGCTACAGTCACAGGAAATGGAGAGGGATCAGAAAGGGGAAAACTCACCAATCTTGGCAGCCGGTGTGTTGTGTGTAGTGGTCCAGCAGCTGGGCAAATGAAAAAAATTGGAGCGGGCAGTTGTAAGTTCAATAAACATCGGTACAGGGTCCCGGAGGCAGAGCCCCGGACGCAGGGCCCCGGACGCAGAGCCCTGGATGCAGAGCGCCAAGACAGCCTGTTTCATCACAGCATCAATGTTGTTTTTAAAATGATAAGCAGCTTTTTTTTAATCTTTTTTTTTTTTTTTTTTTGGTTTTTCGAGACAGGGTTTCTCTGTGTAGCTTTGCGCCTTTCCTGTTCTTTATCATTTTTAAAAATGTACTACAGCTAGCTCCCAAATAATAATCTAGAGACTTACTATTAATTATGAAAGCTCGGCCTATAGCTTAGGCTTGTTCCTAACTAGCTCTTATAACTAATTAACTCACTTCTATTAATCTACGTTCTATCACGTGGCATTACCTCTGTTCCATCTTGCATCTCCTGCTTCCTCTCCGTGTCACCTGGTGTTTCCTTCAAGACTAGATTCCGCCTCCTCTTCCTTTCTTTCCCTGGAAACCCTGTCTACACCTCCTGCCTTCACACAGTGTACAAATATCCCACAATCAGTCCCAAAGAGGATGTGTGGAGTCATCGGGGAGGGAGGGGAGCCTGACACAAGCTGAGTGTGAATCGGGATGGCTGCTGACAGAGTTTGCTGGAAAAAGAATACACATTGTATACTCTACAGTTGCACATAGGATTGAATGGGAGAAAGGAAGCGCGGGAGCTGGAGTGTGTTTGAGATCCGGGATTGAGGAAGCCAGCTTTGACCTTGACAAGTTAATAGGCACCAGTCATATGTTAATGGAGGGGCCACAGGAGTCCCTTTTTAGCACACAGGAATTTTTTTCAAGCCCCTGAGGGAATGGGGACTTTTGTTTAAATGCCTGACCTTGGGAAAAGGACTTTCTTAGGGGATCAGACATTCCATTATGGAATATTGTGGTTTCTTGCATGGCTTAGTTTGTCCAAATAGCTAAAGCTTAAAGTGAGCAAAGACGAAGTGAGACAAATATTATTGTGAACCTGAATGGAACTTAGGAATTTATAAATCTTGATTATCAAATATACCTTATTTATCAAGTATATGTAACTTCTCTAAATTTTTTAGCAGCTTGGCATTGACTTGTATGAGAGTAGGCAGAATTATCACTCTATGTGGTTCCACAGTGGCAGGGATTTTTTTTCCAAAGAATTTTTTTTGTTTGTTTGTTTTTGTTTTTGAAACAAGGTTTCTCTGTGTAGCTTTGGTGCCTGTCCTAGATCTCACTCTGTAGACCAGGCTGAACTCGAACTCACACAGATCTGTCTGGCTCTGCCTCCCGAGTGATGGGATTAAAGACATGTGCCACCACCGCCCAGCTCAAAGAATTGTTTTAAGAGGCTGCTGTTAGGATTCTGCCACTCGACCGCACATGCGCAGTTCAGCAGCTAAGCAAGGGGTCTTACATCATTAGTGCGCTGCATGATCATGCATGCGTGGTGTAGCTCCATAAGCCCACCTAAGCATGTTCACAGGAATCCTTAAAAAGCCAGACACAGACTCCTCCTCTCTCTCTGTTCTCCCCGTCCCCCACTATCTCTCTCTCTCTCTGCTCTCTGTATGTGCTTCTTCCCCAGGCCTGGTTCTTTTGTGCCCTCCCCTTCCTCCTAATAAAGCTCTGATACTGAGTTTTGCCATGGCTTGTCATTTTTAAACTTGTTACAGGGACCTATGCTTTTGGGCACCTGAGCTGATATATACAGACACACACATAGGCATACATATACACATAATTTAAATAAATAAATAAAAAACGGGGTGAATGAGCCTTGGAGTTGGCACAGACCACACCCAGACACCAAATTCTCAGCAGAAAGAATATTTATCTATTAAGCAAGATAGACAGGGTGGCTGAACCTGAATTGGGCAGAAACAGCAGGGCGTGGCTCAGCAGGAGTGATTTTTTTTTTTTTTAGGAGAAAAACAGGAAATCCAGGCTAGGACAGGTTGGTAGGTTTTGATTGGGCATGTTAATTAGGGTAGCCAAATGAGGGGCTTTGATTGGGCATGCTAATTAGGAAGCCAAATTGGGGATTTTGATGCTGGACCTTGATGTTTTGATAGCTGGACCTCAGGAATGAGTCAGGCATGAGGAAATGGCCAAACAGGATTCTAGTGGTTTAGCCCAAGAGGGAACGGCAGGACCTGCCCTCAGCATGTAAGGGCCTGTTAGAGCCCTTCTCAGGGTGCTGGGGAGATGGCTCAGCAGTTGAGAACACACACCAGAGTTCAGTTTCCAGCACCCACATCAGATAGCTCCCAACCACCTGTGATTCCATCTCCAGGAGATCTCATGCTTCTTCCAGCCTCCTTGGGTACCAACACAGATGAGCACATACCCACACACATACACACAATTAAAAATGCTAAAAGAAGCCGGGCGGGGTGGTGGCGCACGCCTTTAATCCCAGCACTCGGGAGGCAGAGCCAGGCAGATCTCTGTGAGTTCAAGGCCAGCCTGGGCTACCAAGTGAGTCCCAGGAAAGGCGCAAAGCTACACAGAGAAACCCTGTCTCGAAAAACCAAAAAAAAAAAAAAAAAAAATGCTAAAAGAAATTCTAAACAAAGGCCAAAACATCTTTAAAAGTAAGAAAACAAAACAGAGGTGCAGAAATATGTTGTAGAAAATTACCTCGAGACATGTAAATAAAACATATGTAATACATAGTGAATTTCATGTTTCAGCTCCGATCTCATGCCCAAAATATCCCATTATATATATATATATATATATATATATATATATATATATTTTTTTTTTTTTTTTGGTTTTTCGAGACAGGGTTTCTCTGTGTAGCTTTGTGCCTTTCCTGGAACTCACTCTGTAGCCCAGGCTGGCCTCGAACTCACAGAGATCCGCCTGGCTCTGCCTCCCGAGTGCTGGGATTAAAGGCGTGCGCCACCACCACCCGGCCTCCCATTATATATTTTCAAACATTTCAACATCTGAAATCCGTAATACATCTATTCCCAAGCATTTCAGATAAGGGACACTCAGCTCGTACATTACCGTTTTGCCTGTAATTGCCTGTAAATACCCCTTTCCTATGAAAAACAAGGCCTCGGAAGCTGATAGAGTTACTTAAGCTGGTCTTCTCTGTTGTTGCTGCTGCTGCTTTTTGTTGGTTTATTGGAACAGAATCTCATGTAACCCAGGTTAGCCACCAACTCCTATGTAGCCATCTTATTTAGGTTTTGTTGTTGTTGTTTGTTTTGTTTTCGAGACAGAGTTTCCCTGTGTAGTTTTGGTGCCTGTCCTGGATCTCGCTCTGTAGACCAGGTTGCCTTGAACTCACAGAGATCCTCCTGACTCTGCCTCCCGAGTGCTGAAATTAAAGGTGTGTGCCACCAAGGCCCGGCTTATTTAGGGTTTTTATTGCTGTGAAAAGACACCATGGCCGGGCTGGAGAGATGGCTCAGAGGTTAAGAGCACTGGCTGTTCTTCCAAAGGTCCTGAGTTCAATTCCCAGCAACCACATGGTGGCTCACATTCATCTGTAATGAGATCTGGCGCCCTCTTCTGGCCTGCAGGGATACATGCAGGCAGAACACTGTATACATAATAAATAAATAAATTTAAAAAAAAAAAAAAGACACCATGACCACAGCAACTCTTATAAAGAAAACATTCCATTGAGGTGATGGCTTACAGTTTCAGAGGTTCAGTCCATTATCATCATGGCGAGGAGCATGGCAGCGTGCAGGTAGACAGATGTGTTGCTGGAGGAGTAGCTGAGCTTCCTACATTTTTCAGGCAACAGAAGTCAACTGAGCCACTGGGCAGTATTCTGAGCATAGGAAACCTCAAAGCCCATCTCCACAGTGACACACCTCCTCCAACAAAGCCACACCTCCTAATAGTGCTACTCTCTATGAAATTATGGGGGCCAATTACATTCAAACTACCACATTCCACTCCCTGCGCCCCATAAGCTTGTAACAATATCATAATGCAAAATGCATTGAGTCTAACTTCAAAAGTCCCCATAGTCTATCACAGTCGCAACAATGTTAAAAAGTTCAAAGTTCAAAAGTCTCTTCTGAGATTCATGCAATCTCTTAACTTTGTAATCCCCTTATGAAATCAAAATCAAAAAACAGATCACATACTTCTAACATATAATGGCACAGGATATACATTACCATTCCAAAATGTAGGGAAGGGAGCACAGTGAGGAAATGCTGGACCAAGGCAAGACTGAAAACCAGCTGGACAAACTCCAAACTCTGCAGCTCCATGTCTGATGTCAAAATGCTCTTCAGAACTCCAACTCTGTTTAGCTTTGTTGACTGCAACACACTTCTTTCTCTTGGGCTGGTTCCACTTCCTGTTAGCAGCTCTCCTGGGCAGGTGTCCCATGGCTCTGGCATCTAAACATCTTGGGGTCTCCAAGGCAATCCAGGCTTCAACATCACAGCTTCACTCAATGGCCTCTCTACTAGACCTCCATTTAGAGACACCCTGGACACATGCCTGGGCTCAGGAGCTTTCTCTAGGCATGGAGGCAAATTCCATAATACATTTCTTCTATTCTTAACTCTAAAGCCAGCATCACATGGCCAAAGCTGCCAAGTTCTGCTACTTACTGGGGCTGGAACATGGCCACCTCTTTTAATTACATCTTCACCAGCTTTCTGTCCTTCACTGCCTAAGCTTGACTGTCCTGAAACTTGCTCTGTAGATCAGAGCTGGCCTCAAACTCAGTTCTACCTGCCCCTGCCTTCCTGGTACTGAGATTAAAGATGTGACCCAGGCTCTAAGCTTTTCTTTAGTTCCTTTTCACACACTGGAAACTTAGCTGGGTGGGATCTTGCGCTGAGGTCATCACTCCTTTTTTTTTTGTTTGTTTGTTTGGTTTTCTTTATTTTTTAAGATTTATTTATTTATCATGTATACAGTGTTCTGCCTGCATGTGTGCCTGCAGGCCAGAAGAGGGCACCAGATCTCATTACAGACGGTTGTGAGCCACCATGTGGTTGCTGGAAATTGAACTCAGGATCTCTGGAAGAGCAGCCAGTGCTCTTAACCTCTGAGCCATCTCTCCAGCCCTGTTTGTTTTTCAAGACAGGGTTTCTCTGTGTCATTTTGGTGCCTGCCCTGGGTCTCACTCTGTAGACCAAGCAGGGCTCAAACTCACAGAGATCCGCCTGCATCTGCCTCCCAAGTGCTGGGATTAAAGGTGTGCGCCACCACAACCCGGCTTGCCTGTATTCCATTTCTTAATGCTCCATGCTCTTATTCTCCTCAAAATCTACATTCTGTAATTTGCCCTGCTCAGCTTGCTCCTTTTCGTTATAAATCTCTATAAGCATGAACACTAGTAACCACACGACAGAGTCTATTTTAGGCTGTTTTGAGATTTCCTCTGACAATAGAATTAATCCAAAACTCCTCACTTTAGCCTTAGACAGACTCTTCAGACGAGGGCAGAAGGCAACCACTTTCTTCACCAAAATATCACAAGAACAATCTCTAGGCAACGTATTAAAATTCTTCTCCACTGAAACCTCTTGAGTGAGCCCCCCACAGTTCGAATAACTCTTAGCATCTGTCTTCCATGCTCCTACTCGTGTGGCCCTTTAAGCAGTGCTTAAAGCATTCCACTGCTTTCATAACCTAAAGTAGCAAAATCCAAGTTCTTCCAAATAAAACGTGGTCAGGCCCATCACAGCAATACCCCAGTCCATGGTTCCAACTTCTGTCTTAGGGTTTCTATTGCTGTGAAAAGACACCATGACCATGGCAATTCTTATAAAGAAGAAAATTTAATTGGGGTGTCTCGATTACATTTTCAGAGGTTTAGTCCATTATCATCATGGTGGGGAGCATGGTGGCGTGCAGGCCATTGAGAGCTGAGAGTGCTGCATCTTGCAGATGATAAGAAATCCACTAAGATTCTGGGTAGTATCCTGAGCACAGGAAACTTCAAAGCCCACTCCCACGGTCACACACTTCCTCCAACAAGGCCACACCCCCTCCACCAAAGCCACAGCTCCTAATGGTGCCACTCCCTACGAGATTATGGGTGCCAATTACATTCAAACTACTACAGTAGCTCAGAATGATTTTGAACTTCTGATCCCCCTGCCTCTGCCTTGAGAGTACTGGGATAACAGACATGCACCACTACATTCACCATGCCTGGTTGTGTGATATTTTATAATTTAGAAATTCTTGAAAAAGACATAAGCCCATAAAAATAAATAAAACTAAGCTGGGTGGTAGTGGTGCACGCCTTTGCTCCCAGCAGGAACCTGGTAGCAGGTGTTAATTCAGAGACCACAGAGGGGAGCTGCATACTGGCCTGCTCCCCATGGCTTGCTCAGCCTGCTTTCTTATAGAACCCAGGACCACCAGCCCAGGGATGGCACCACCCACAATGGCTGGGCCCTCCCCCATTAATCACTAATTAAGAAAATGGTCTACAGGCTTGCCCACAGCAGATCCTGTGGAGGCATTTTCTCAGCTGAGGCTCCCTCCTCTGATGACTCTAGCTTGTGTCCTGTTGAGGTAAAACTAGCCAGCACTCTGCCCTGCTGAGCTGAAGTTACAGACTCTCTGGGCTGAGCCCGACTTTTCTGAGTGCTGGGTCTTGAACTCAGGTCCTCACGCTTATACGGAAACACTTTCCCATCTGCTCCTGGCTCCCAGTCAGCTCCCTAGTCTTCCATTTGCTCTTTCTTACTCGATGTTTTTTGTTTCTTGTATATTAAAGATTTTCCTTAAGTAGATAATGATTTTTCATTTTCTGTGTATTTAAGAGTGAGGTCTTAGCTGGGCATGGTGGTGCATACCATGAGCCAGGCGGATCTCTGTGAGTTGGAGCCCAGCCTGGCCTACAGAACGAGTTCCAGGACAGCCAGGGTGATTATAATAGCAGGATTCATGTCTATTTCATTAACAGAAGCCTGATGAGAATATCTTTGGGATTTCCCCCTCAAAGGTATATTATTGCTCTTATTTGCCATTATTTAGGAATTAATATTCTCAGGGCTGCTAAACCAGCTACGATTCTGTTTGCTTTCCACCTTCCAAAATGCTCCTACCACCATTTCACTTCCTTTTTTCATTGTTCTTACAGGTTTCTCCCTTACGATGTGGACAAAAGAAACGCTTTCCCCAAGATCCCAGGCCCTACCCCAACTTTAACTAGGAGTCCCCTTTATTTTATTTTCTCCTTTCTCCTCTCCCTTGCTCTCCTTCCTCTCCCATGCCCATTTTGTTTTGTTTTTTTGTTTCTTCAAGATTTTGCTATGGATAAGCTGGGCTGGCCTCCAACTGTCCATCTTTCTGCCTCAGCCTGTAATTATAGGCATCCGCCTCCACTCTTGGCTCCATTATTCTCTCTTCTCCTTTTGAGACGGAGTCTTGTGTATTCCAGGCTTGGACCAAACTCCATGTAGCCAAGGATGACTACTTGGATTCCAGGTGTACACCAGCATGTTTGGTTTATACTGCGTGGGGGTGGGGATGGGGGTGGGGGGGGTGTGTTGAATCCAGGGATTCACACAATCTAAACAAGTCATCTACCAACGCGTCTGTGTGTGTTTGAGACAGGGTCTCATATATCCCAGGCTGGCCTGGAACCCACCATATGGAGGAGGATGACCCTGAATTATATCCTTCTGCCTCCGCTTCACGAGCGCTGAGATGACAGGCATGCACTACCACACTCAGCCCCTTAAGATAATTTTATTGAAGGACAAATTCCGGTTTTGATACGGATTATTTCGTTGCCCTACAGTAGTATGTGTGTACATATACTTGCTTCTGTATAGTATGCTTCTGTATGGCATGCTTCTGTATAGTAATTGTTTTGCAAAGGGAATTAAGTTACTTCCAAAGATATCCCCCCTCCCCACCATCCGCCTCAATACTCTGCCCGATGGGGGCGCCACACATTGCAAGAAATACCTGAAAAAGCCATCAGAAGCGCTAGGCTGGGCGAGGGCAGAGACAAGGGGCAGAAGGAGACAGCCAGAGACCACGCCTCTCAGGGAATAAAGAGCGAGGGGGAGGGGGTTTAATCTCGTTGGTGATTGGCTGTTATCCCTGGCCAATCATGAGCAGCGATTGATTTTTTTTTTTTTTTTAAACTCAACAGTGATGATCCGCCTCCCCGGAGGCTTTGACGCCACGTTTACAAATGAGGATCGGTTACGTAAGAGGGATGGGCCGGGCAGCCAATGAGAGCTGGGGGCGCTAATGGGCGGGTGAGGCCGCTGCCAGGTTCGGGGCGGAAGGACCAGCTCCAGCTAAGACGGGAACGAAAGATGGCGGCGGAAACGCTGCTGTCCAGCCTGCTGGGGTTGCTATTGCTGGGGCTCCTGTTCCCTGCGCCCCTGACGGGTGGTGTCGGGAGCCTGAATTTGGAGGAGCTGAGCGAGATGCGTTATGGGATCCAGATCCTGCCGCTGCCTGTCATGGGAGGGCAGGTGAGGGGTGTGGGGGCGAGGGTCCTATGCAAGAGGAAGGGGGCGCACGGTAAAGGAGGAAGGGCAGCTGCGAGCCCGGCGCCGCCGGAGATGAGGGGATGGAGAAGAGGAGGTGGTGTTCTTGCAGTACCGCTGGGAATCGCGGGCAGACCCGTTCCCCTGGGGACCAGGCACCGGCAGGGGTGGGGCTTCCCGCTGTGGACGTCCCGGGTCACGGTGAAAGCACCCAGGCTGCCCGGCTGGGGAAGTGAGAGCGCCCTCAACTCCCGCTCCCCGCACGCAGCTAGCTGGAGGGCTTGCGGCTTGTTCTCTCTTCCGACTGGGCACTTCCCCAGGGTCTGAAGAGGGATCTCGTTGTTCTCGATCCCAGCCTCTGCCTCCCTGCCCCCCTCCCCGACCCTTCTTCCCCAGAGCCAAGCTTCAGACGTGGTGGTGGTGTCTTCCAAGTATAAGCAGCGCTATGAGTGCCGCCTACCAGCTGGAGCTATTCACTTCCAGCGTGAAAGGGAGGAAGAGGCACCTGCTTACCAAGGGCCCGGGATTCCGGAGTTGTTGAGCCCAATGAGAGATGCTCCCTGTCTGTTGAAGGTGAAAGGACCCGGGGTGCCGGGGTGGGTGGAAGGTAGTCTTGAACTGGAGTGCTAGGGAAGGAGTGCGTCCTGGGGGGTGGGGGGCTGTGGAAGTTAAGGGGCTACTGGTGTACTAGATATATTTACAGACAGGAAGCGTGGAGGAGCAAAGACTCCTGCATCCACAAATGACCCTTTGCTGGATGTAGGGAAGGATTACAATAAAAGATCTCAAAACAGGTTGAACCAAGATCAAAGTAATAAAGAGGGGCCGTGGTGGGACAGGAGGAGGAGGTGGTGGGACTGGAGAAGCAGGAGCCCACCCAGAATGTCACCGTCCGCCCCTGTCGCTCTTCATCTCAGGATTCCACTGTAGTTGAAGAAGTTCAATTAATACTTGAACCTGTGGGAGTCTTCATCCGAGAGCTTCAAGGATACCATGATTTCTTACCTTTATGGAGGGCGGGGAGGGACTCCTGTCTGTGACCCCAGGCTGGACCCCATAGCATGGTCCTGTCTCATCCCTCCCCTGACAAAAAGAAAAAGAAAGGGCACGTGTGGAAAGCAGTCATACTTTAGATGTGCGTCTCCAGCCATGGAAGGAGGACAGCTGTCCCTTCTCACAGAGTCTGGAGAATGAATGCGAGGGTAGAGGGGATAAGAACTAAATGGCAGTCTATATGTTTTGGAGCCAGGGGACTGTGGTTTCAGAAAGAAGGATTTTCATGCCCCCTGGTTATTTGTTTTTCAATCGTCAGACCAAGGACTGGTGGACGTATGAATTCTGTTATGGACGCCATATCCAGCAGTACCATATGGAAGGTGACTCTCTCTTACATTTCCCCCAAGCCTTCACCATCAGGTGTGGAAGGTGACCTCCCTCCCAGCCCTCTTCCTTCTAGACTTCATAGTGAGAATAATGTGCTTTACCGTGGCTTCTCTTACAGACTCAGAGATCAAAGGTGACGTCCTCTATCTCGGCTACTATCAGTCAGCCTTCAACTGGGATGATGAAACCGCCAAGGTGACAGGGGTTTGGGGTCAGGCTGAGCTGCAGTCAAGACCAAGTCCCCTGGGACCTGGAGTCCTGTGATCTCCAGGTTCCTGCGGGAGGTTGGTGCCGTTCTTCTGTGTTGTTTCCTTTTCTCATACCCTCTCCATCCTGCCTGATGTTTTCTCCAGGCCTCCAAGCAGCATCGGCTGAAACGCTACCACAGCCAGACCTACGGCAATGGGTCCAAATGTGATCTCAACGGGAGGCCCCGGGAGGCCGAAGTTCGGGTAAGACTCAAAAGAAGGAAGGAAAATGGTCCCCGACTAACAGTCTAACTTCTCTGGGAGGGAGGCAGTCAGGTTTCAGGCCCAGATCTAGTTGGCAGCTAGATGCCATTGTCTGGCTTTTCAGAGGTAATTTAATTCTGCATCTCCCATATGCTACCCTCAGGGCCTCCAGCCGTATTTAATCTTTCCAGCATTTCTCCTTACAGTCACCTGAGCTGTTAATGTCAGTATCTGTCTTTGACTCTTCATATCCTGGAGATAGCATTGAGGCGCTGGTCTTAACTCTTCTGGGAAAGTGGGAGCAAACAGGAAGCGCCTTCATGGGTGGAAGGGCCTGGTGTAGGGGATGATGCTAACACAAGAAATGAGTCTGAAGGAAGTCATGAAGGCAGTGGTTCTCAACCTGTGGGTTGTGACCCCTTTAAGGGATGGACAGGCCCTTTCACAGGGGTCCCATATCAAGATATTTTCATTACAGTTCATAACAGTAGCAAAATTACAGTTACGAAGTAGCAACGAAAATAATTTTATGGTTGAAGGGATCACCACAACACAAGGAACTGTATTAAAGGGTCGCAGCGTGAGGGAGGTTGAGAACTCCTGCTAAGGGGTGAGGATGAGAAGGAAATGGTCTCTTCTCTCTTCTAAGGATCTAGTAAAGTTCTCTTCAGGGAGGGGCGTGGTGGTGTGCGCCTTTAGTCCTAGCACTCTGGAGACAGAGGCAGGCGATCCCTGAGTTTGAGGCCAAGCCTGATCTACCTGGTGAGTTCCAGGATAGCTTCAAAAAACAAAAACCTCTCTTCAGTTGGGTATGGTAGTATATACCTGTAATCTCAGTAAGTTGGGAGGCTGAGGTGGGAGCATTGTGGGCTTAAGGCTTTCATGAACTACATGACAAAATATTGTACTAACAAACAAAAGAAAACCCTCTTTTGCCCTGTGGTTGGGACCCTTAATTCTCACCATCTTGGCCAATAGCCTCCTAAACAATGGTCCTTACCTCCTGGCCTATCGCTGAGTAGAGGCTGGCAGGGGGCAGACAGGCTGTGTGCAGAAAAGCTGCTCAATCTACCTCTACTAGCACTGGGTTTATGTAAAACAGATTTGCACAATCAATTGTGCACTAGTATTGGACACCCAACCCCAAGAGTGGGAAGAAGCATGCGATGTTAGCAGTTATCGTTGTATGAATACTCCCTCCATGCCGGAGTCAAGCTCTCGGTATGACGTGGACCGTCTTGCTCCATGTGAGGTGGGGTGAGCTGGCTCTACTGTGCTGCCGCACGCATCCGCCGCCACCCCTTCCGGGTCCCGGAAACCAGTCAGTGCTTCTACATCACAGAAAATCCAAATGCTTCAGCAGTGACTACGTGGTGCCGGGAATGGTAGGAAACAGCCAAATTCTGGATTTATTTTGTTATTTAATTTTTTTTTGGTTTTTTTTTTTTTTTTTTTTTTTGGTTTTTCGAGACAGGGTTTCTCTGTGTAGCTTTGCGCCTGTCCTGGAACTCACTTGGTAGCCCAGGCTGGCCTCGAACTCACAGAGATCCGCCTGCCTCTGCCTCCCAAGTGCTGGGATTAAAGGCGTGCGCCACCACCGCCCGGCTTGTTCTTTAATTTTTTAAATTAATTTTATATAAAAGAGTAGGTTTCATTATAACACTTAAAAGTACTTAAAGAAGAAACTGCTTTTATACTTTTTTTAAATGTGCACTGGTGTTTTACCTGTGTATATGTCTGTGTGAGGGTTTCAGATCCCCTGGAACTGGAGTTACAGACTGACATGAGCTGCCATATGGGTGCTGGGACTTGAACCCTGGTCCTCTGGAAGAGCAGCCAGTGGTCTTAACCACTGAGCCATCCCTCCAGCTGCTGTTTTAAAAAAATATGTAGGTGTGTGTGTGTGTGTGTGTGTGTGTGTGTGTGTGCCTGAATGAGTTTATGTGTACCATGTGTGTGCAGGTGCCCGCCCTCAGAGGCCAGAGGGAGTCAGATCCCCTGGGACTGGAGTAGCAGGCAGTTGTGAGCCCCCCATTCTGGGTCCTGGAAACCGAATCTGGGTCTTCTGCAAGGCAGTATGTTCTCTTAACCACCGAGCTGTCTCTCCAGCCCCTCACGGCATTTTCAGATGTGTGTATCATTGTACTTTGCTTATATCGGCTCCCCACCACGCTGTAGATCTATTCTGATGGTAGAACAGTGAGATGTGTTGTTGAGTTGGACATGCGGCAGAGTGAAGGATGGTTATGACCGTTTTATCGTCAGCAGCTGCAATGATAGAATTGCCGTTCATTACAGTGTGAAGGAGCAGGCTGGAGAAGGAAGATGGGTTGGGTTTGTGCGTATGGAGGTCAGAGGCCAGTCAGGCATCCCACTGGTGATCTGTAGTCGCAATTAGCTCTGTGATTCAAAACGAAATCTAGGATGGAGATAAAAATACGCATCGTATTTCTGTCACAGTGGCCTTGTCCCTCTGCCGGGAATGGTGTAGCGTTCTTGGAATGGCTGGCTGTGTTCCTCCATTCAGGTTATACTCGAATGATACCTTGTGCAGATACACAAACACAGGTCCCCTTTCATCCTGGTGAGCATTTATAGTGTTTTATATTCTTCAACGGCAGTATCATATGCTGACCATGGGATGGCTCAGTCCTATAATCCCAGCACTTAGGAGTCTGAGATAGGGGATGACTGCCAAGTTTGGGGCCAGCCTGGGCTCCATCGTGAGTTCTCGGCCATTCTGGGTTACAGAATGAAAGAAAGCCTGTCTCAGAAACAAACAA